GTATTTCTCTAAAATTAAAATAATGAAGATAATAATATCCATGATTAACATCATCCACAATAAAAATGATTAATCAACCTCTCATAATTACAAAAAAAAAATGAACAAAATGAAAAATTATGATTAGTTGAATGAAGTTTGTACGGTTTGTACAAATTAGGTGGTTTTTATTTGAACGCTCCCCTATATACATACATATATATACATACATATATATATATATATATATATATTAGCGTGCGTTTGGTGCGTGGGACAGTATAGGATGGAAGGAAAACTTGTCCCACATTTGAAGCATATTAGATTGGGATCGGACAAAATTAGGTGGGATAAAAATGCGTTTTTCTGTCCCATCGAAATAGGTGGAACAAAAATCATGGAGATGAGACAAGCTTGGTAAATTACTAAACTACTCATGTTAAATTGCAACCACAAAACCTTCAAGAATTCTCTCAGCTGCCTACCTCACTCTTGCCTGTCTAGTCTTCTCCTGTCGTATCCTGTCCGCATACCAAACGTACCCTTAAAGAACAAACATGAGTGTTTTGAGGTGGGCTATAAAGCCTATTACCTCATTTCTCTTTTTTCTCGTTCATTCTCTCAATATTCACTACTATATTTTTTTTTTGTAATTCATGTTTTTTTTAAATGTTTGCATTCAACTCCAAATCATTCATCTACTTCTATATTAATTCAAATAAAATAACTTCAAATCATTCATCTTTTTCAATCAATCATTTATTTATATATATAAAAACAACAACTATGTATTCATCTTCATCTCACACCCTCTCAAATTCTATCTCTATCATCTACATCTCTAAATTTATTTATTTTCTCTTTGGTTTTTCTTCTATTTTACTATTGATAATCTTCATCGTTTTATTTTGTTTTTTCACTTCTCCCATAATTTTATGTATATTTGTATCATTATTTAGATTATATTATAGTTTTTATGCATTATGTCATAAAGATTTGAATAAGTCTTCGAGTTCAATATTTTGATTTTTTGGTTGCAATATAAGGTAATAATTTTATATTGATTTGTTTCATGATTTTGATTGTATTATAATTTTATTTATGTTTTTATCGTGATTTTGTTTGCATTATAACTCTTATGTATTAGGTGAAGATTTCAAATGTTAAAGTTCACTATGTAATTTTTACTTATGTTGAACGTTTGTTGGTTTGCAAGTTTTCGAGTTCTTAACTTTATATATCAAGTCTTGAAAATTTGAAGTTTTCAAGTTTGGGTTGTGGAAATTTATGATTATGATCTAAAGTAAGAATTTTATGCAAGTTTGTTTTGTAATTTAGAGTGTATTAGAATGTTATGTATGTTTGTATCATGATATTGATTGGATTATATTTTTAAGTATGTTCTTGTTGTAAGTTTAGTCTTATGATAATTTTATGTATGTTCATGTTGTGATTTTGATTGCATTATAATTTTATCTATTGGGTTATAGAGATTTGAAGTCTTTTAAGTTTGGTATGTGATTTTTTACATATTGTATGGTTGGTCCATTCACTATTGTGTTTTTCAAAGTTAATGTATGTGTTGAGGATGAAAAATGGTACATGTACATCATCTTTTTTGGTGCTTATACATCGTAATCATCATTACACAAAAATAAGTTTTTTGTCGACAAAACTAAGACAATAATAATTTCTCTGTCTATGATGAATCTAATTTAAATTTTAGTTGTTCGGTTTTTGGCCAACCATGATTAGCTATTGCTTACAACAATTGGTAAGCTTATGATATAACGAATGTTATTGCTTATATACCTTGCATTGTATGATTCCTCAAGATTAGAGGATATTATATTTCATTCAACAATTAATAAAATACTCTTATTTTATTTCCTATTATTTAACTGTATTTATAAATTTAGTTATATCACTTCTTATATTGTAATTACACATCTAATTATTCAGATGACTATATGTACATGAATTTATTTAAAAAAACCTGGAAAATAAGTTTTACAAGCTAAATTGAAAATATTACTTTTGCATACACCTACGATAGTGCTCAATTTTAATCATACAATACTTGCGGGTTGCGGCTAATAATTTTTATACAAATTGAACTTCAATATCGAATCATTGTTCTGTAACCGAAAAATATAAAATGTATGAAGTTTTTTAGTTACAAGAAACAATATCAATGAAAAAAAATTGCATCAAAAACACCCCAATGCAATCATCGTCTTATATTACAATTTATTATGAAACTACGTTTTACCTTAATTTGATTACGTATTTTCTAACAAAACAAGTTTAATCACTGTGCAACACGCGATGTGTGAAGTAAGAACCAAATGGTTGT